TATTCAACGAAAGGAGACTGCGACCACACAAAAGGCCACACCATCTTGGTCTTTATACCTTCGATTAATTAAGTTGATTTTTATATCACATTAAATTTTGTTTCTTTATATACGCTGCACTATCGTAGTTTGAATCTCGCCTTGTGGTACGGATGTGATTTATGCGAGGTCGAAACGGTAGTCCATTCTTGGATGAGATTACCTTGTAGGAAATCAAGGCTTTATGAAATCCAATGAAAGCGTAATGCCTACTCACATAATTGTGGCAAAATTAAACTACCAATCACCTTATCACCTTAAACGAAGTATGATGAATGCATGTGACATAAGCGTGAGCAGAGACTGACCTGAAATCGGCGCCCCGACAAGGTAGCCGAGAGCCTGGAAAAATACCATCTGTCCGTATCCAGCGCTTAGCGCCTCCACACCAAGAATGTCTATCACGTTCTGAGTGCCGAGCGCCTCTCCGGGGGCCGAGAAGACGCCGAACAGCACCGCGTAGACAACCATACCGGCGTAGGTCTCAGTGAGCGGCAGCAACAGCGTGGCCAACCCGTTGAGAAGGGCGCAAGCCAGGCAAATGGAGATGGGCGCAATCAGGCTGCGCGTAAACTGTACCAACAGACCACAGACAAGACGAGCTACCAGCTGGGCCAGGCCGACGCAGAGGACCAGGTTGGCCGCTTCCGCGTCCGTCAAGCCGATGTCCCGGCCGTAGGCGTTCAGGTGGGCGTGGACGACCGAGGTGGCGAAGAAGAGGAGTGCGTTGCTCATGTTGAAGAGCAGAAATTGCGGGATCAGCAGAAGACTGCCCTGAAAAGCGTTCCGAAAAAAGGCCGCAGACACATAGAAACGTTTGGCGTGCCGACGCACGCTTTCGGTCACCAGGGCGGCAGTCTCGTCTCTGGTCGTCATGGGAATCACGTTGGTGACAAGAGGCATCGTTGCAAAGGCAGCAGTTGCACTGGGACCAGTAGCCACAGCGGCTGGAGCGGCTGACAAGTTCGATTCCCGGACGCCCAGGAAACGGAATTCGCTGTCTCGCAGGCTGCCGTGGGGACACGAGGCCTGCTCCTCGTTGTGTCCGGGATAGAGGGTGCTGCAAGAGGCGAAGAGAACTGGCGAGATGATGTCTTTCACTTGAGTGATGTCCATCAAACTGACGCAGTGCTCCGGACGAATTTTCTCCCCATTGTCATTTTCGCATTCATCCTCCTCCTCCTCCTCCTCCTCCTTCTCTTCCTTCTTCCCCTTCTTCTCCTCCTCCTCCTCCTCTTCTTCCTCTTCCTCCTCATTTGCGACTTGATCCTCTTCTTCACTTTCTCGCTGCCGCCTCGTCTGCCGCATCGGAAGCTCCCCTACCGCGGTCAGATTCCCCGAGCCCAGGTCCTGCCAGACCTGGTGAGACAAACGAGTTCTCCGCTGCTGGTGGTTCGCCACCGTCCAGAAGCCGGTCTCCCGATCCGTCAGCAGCTGACGCTTCTCCGCGATGAACTCATCAACCGGTGTCGGGCCGACCGGCTCCGCGTCTCGACCGGCCGTCTCCTCGAAGCACCGGAAGCCCTGAAGCCCCGACAGCCCGGGCGTCGTCTCCACGACCACGGCTATCGGTACCTGACTGACATGTTCACCGCAGCTGGCGGCAACGGCCTGCAGGCCGTAGCGCAGCTCCTCAGCCGCTGCCTGCAGAGACTGAGAGACGGCGCGTTCGGCGTCCAGGGCGTCTTTGGTGACGAGGAGAGCTGCCGTGTTCAGGCTGCCAATGACGGAGACCGGCATGCAGACAGAATGCTGCTGCTGCTGCTGCTGCTGATGCTGACTAGACATGAAGAGTCGGGAGAAGGTGGGCGCAGGACCAGCGGCCAAAGAACCGCTGCACATCGTGTTTGTCCGGGACGGTGCCATTGCTAGACTGAAAGGGTAGGCCGGCATGGCGCAATTGGAGAGGCTGAGACGCGACAGTTCGGCCGGACTTCGTGATCTGGCCTCGGCCACACAGCTTGCCAGGCCCGACTCTTCGCTGATCGACGAGGAAGCCAAGCCACCCGGAACGGGATTTTGTGCGGCCAGGAGGGCGGTCTCTTGGACGGTGAGGGATTCAGGCGAGTCCAATTGGATTATGTCACCTTGTCGAAGCGACGAGATGGACAAAAGACATCGTGGAGACTCAGCACAAGGAAGTGTTTTTTCAGGGCGTACAGACATCAAAATAACCTTTGAGTAATCAAGAGGCCCACTTTAGTGTTAAGATAATTTTTTTCTTTCATCATTTAATCAACCCATTGCTATGTGATGCTATTTTTGATATAAGTAGTTTTCAAGGCTATCAGTAGTACCTAATTGAGAGCTCAGTAACCCTATTTCGTTTAAGTTGATTTAAGGACTAATGAATGAGCTTCCCCTTATTTCTCAAAAAGCTACCACATCTAGGCTTAAATGAACTGTACATTCT